TTCCCTTGTAAAGAAACCTTTTATTAACCTTTTGTGTGTGCCTGTAGTAGAGTATTCATAAGTCCTTTTTAAGCGTGTGGGTGAGGACCCACAGCCAGGCAACTCGTTTTATATCAGAGTTGCCCTATAACAAGACCAGTCACAAAATTGTTGTTGACTTATTCTTGAATGCATACTCTAACAGCTACCATACCAATCGTCACCTCCAGGGGAATCAGCCCTAAACAAACAGGAAGAATTTAGCAGGAGCTGGCTATGGTGCCTCCTGGCTTATCAGGAATTTTCTTACACTTGGAGCAGGGCTTGTTGCCTCTGCCACCCAACTGCTATCTTGAACTTTAAAGTAAAAGAATTTCCTTCTCCATTTAGCCCTTGCCTCAAAAGGCCACATCTCCATATTAAAGACTTGGCCAAGGGATGTTTATAGCCTTTTGTTCACAGGAGTAAGGCCAAATGTTGAATTACTGCCTTTTGGCAGAGAATTACTAATTTTATAAAAAATGTAATATTTGTGTCACGCAGTGCCATTTGCCATCAAATTGGTTATTCAGTAATTGATCAAACAGCATTTGCAGTTTTACTTTTAAATGTATATTTTAGCAATGGTAGAAACTAGCCATCAACAAATGAGGAGACTCTAGCAGGAGTCAGCTAACGAGATTCCTGACTTTTCAGTTATCTGCCCCATGCCCAGACCTTTGTCAGGCAACATGAGTACCTTGGCTCCCAGCACCCATGCTTGGTCATTTATGGAAACGTCCTTAAAGCCCATGATCACAAGTTCATCTGGTCGTAGTACTTATATAAGGACCAAATAGAGTTCCTATTTGTCTCTGAGTATCAGACACATGAAATTAATGAAATAAGTCAACTGCATCTTTCCACAAATACAAAGGGTAACTCCTACCCTCTTTTTATAATGAATCCTACCCTCAATAGTCCCTACTGATTCACTCATGTCTAGAGCACCCCTTTATCACCCTGTACAGCACAGTGTCCTCATTCCACATCTCTGAATACGTGTGACTAATGAAATTATTCTTTTTTTTTTTTAAATTTATTTATTTATACAAGAACCTGGGTACAGGCCAGATGTGCGGGAGGGTGAGAGGATTCACCAGAGACAGAGCATGGAACAGAACAGGCAGACTGATGAAATACACTGCTGAGGGGAGCAGGGGCGAGACAGGAGAGGCCTACTATACCATGTGGGAGTCTCGCCGGCTGGTGAGATCCAGCAGGCACTGCAGAGGCTGCGGACAGCTTCACAGTGTGGCATTCAACCTCCTACACCACCAGGGAGGCCCAAAACTTCTTGATCTAATATTTACAGTGTTTGGGTTTTGTGCTTTCAGCTGTCCACATAACTCTAAATCAGGGAGTCCTGCTTCACTATTGGGGTAGAGGAGAGAAGAATATAACACTAGTTTGGTCAATTATGTTTTGGTCCATTTGAGTTGCTGTTACAGAATATCACAGTCTAGGTGTCTTAAACAACCAACATTGTGCTTCTCACAGTTCTGGAAACCAGAAAGCCTATTATTGGGGACCTGAGGCATCCAGTCTCTGATAAGGGTCTGCTTCCTCATTGAGAGATGGCTGTTTTCTTGCTGTGTCCATTCATGTAGGAAGGGTAAGAATGAGTGAGCTCTTTGTGGTCCCATTTATAAGGACACTAATTCCATTCTTGAGAACTCCACCCTCATGATCTAATCATTTCCCAAAACTCCATCCCCTACTGTCATCACAATAGTCACTAGGATTTCAAGCAATGAATTTTGGGGAGACACATTCACTCCATAGCATTCTCCCCCTGACCTCCCAAACTCATAATCTTCTCACAAGCAAAATGCATTCATCCTTCCCAACAGCTCTCCAAATCTTAACTCTTTTCAACACAGACTCTAACATCTAAGTCTAAAGGCTCTTCTAAACATCATATAAATCAATTTAGACTTAAGACTAAGGTTTTTGGGTGAGACTCAAGGCACAAGGTAATTGTTTTTCCCAGTATTGATCAAGGGAATTAAAAATTAAGTTTGTTTTCTGATTCTTTGTTTTGCTTTGTGAGAGTGGATGTAAAGGGAGAATGGAATAAATTTGGTTTTGCAGAAAAGGTCTGCAACATGGACGTGAGAGAAGCACAGAAAGAAGAATGCACACATTCAGCAATATGTGCAGTTTGCTTGGCAGTAAGTTGAACAAGTTTCTGCCTAAATATTTCCATTTTCTACTCGAGGATCTTGAGAATGATGAGAATTGTGGTTAAGTAAGAAATTTAGGAAGAATCGATTTTAGAGGCATCTCTGCAAAAGGTGAATCATCACTCACAGTAAAAGGGGGGTGGGGGGTGAGGGAGGTGCCGATGACTGGAGGAATGACAAGGGACCCCAGAAGCTGATCAGTGGAAATCCTTGTTGGTAAGATTGAAACCCTCGCTGGGGAACTAAGACTTGATCTCAATTACAATGCCAAGTCACCAAGCAGATGAGAAGTGCTTGGAGAGCAGACTCACAATCTCTGACAATATAAATGTCAGCACATTTTCTAGTTACTTTTCTTCCCCTTCTCCTTTTTGCCTCCCTCCCCTCACAATTGATGCTGTATGATTATTCTAGCAATAAAAAGGCCAGAATCTTGCTCTTCAGCAGCATCCTGCATTATGTAGCCTGTGCCACGACTCCCGTTTCTTTATCAGTCTGGTGTTCCCCAACGCAACAACACGCAACATTTGACAATGAGGCAGAGGTTGGAATGATGCTTCCACAAACTTCAGAGACCCTAGTATTTCTGACACCCACTAGAAGTCATGAAGAGGCAAGAAGTTATTTTGTCTTAGAGCTTTGAGAGAGCATGACCTCGATTTCAGACTTCTACCTTCAAGAACTGTAAAAGGATTTATTTCTGTTGTGTGAAGCCACCTACTTACAACAGCTCTAGGAAACTAACATAACTGGGAAAACATTCAAAAATGTTTCACAAAGTCCAACAGTGGCAGAAAAGTCCCTTTTCCAAGCTGTTCTTGTTAAACCAGATGCCCTTATTTTCTGACTCAATCCATTTATTTTCTGAAATTTTCATCTGCAAGGGCATCACCATCCCTTTTATTTTGAAATACCTCACTACCAAATTCTATAATCACAGCACTCTAGGATTAGGCCAGCAAACAAATCACCTCTGCAGAATCAGAAATGCATCTAGACCCAAATGGGTTCTTGCAAATAACCAAGCTGAGCTCCTTGGACAACTTTCCGATGCAAACCATCTGCTCAGCTACAATTCAGCGAGTGTTGCTTTATGCTTTCTGAACTTCTTTCCCGTTGCTCTACCTGTTTGTAAAGTGTCTACACCAGGAAAATGATCGTTAGGTAGTAAAGGAGAAAGAAGTACTGTAAGGAAAATGAGAGAGTAGAAAAGGAGGGAAGTTTTGTTTAAAAAATAATAGCTTTATGGGCCTCCCCGGTGGCACAGAGGTTGAGCACTGGGTTGCGAAGCTGCCGGTGACCTCTGCGGCACCGGTTTGATCCCCGGCTGCTCCCCGGCCACCAGAGGAGGGTCCCACATGGCTCGCAGACCTCTCCTGCCGCCCACTGCTCCCCTCAGCAGTGTACTTCGGTCCTTCTGCCTGCTCTGCTCCCCGCTCTGGCTCTGGTGAATTCTCTCACCCTCCCGTGCTTCTGACTGTACCCAGTGCTTGTATAAACAAAACAAACAAACAAACAAATAAATAAATAACCATGCCTCTATAAAAAAAAAAAATTTAAAAAATAATAGCTTTGGATGAAGTAACATACTTCCTTTTATTACATTTTAATCATACAGACCACAGTTTGTGTTCTTTTAGAACTGGAACATGAAGGGGAGACAGAGAAGATATTAACTCTTCATTTGCCAGAGTGCACCTTTTAAAAAAGGTTTGTGGGCCTCCCTGGTGGCGCAGGCAGTTGAGCACCGCACTGTGAAGCTGTCCGCAGCCTCTGCAGCATTGGTTTGATCCCGGCCAGCGAGAATCCCACATGGCGAAGCAGACCTCCCCGGCCTCAACTGCTGCTCCCCTCAGCAGTGTATTTTGTCAGTCTGCCTGTTCTGTTCCCTGCCCTGTCTCTGGTGAATCTGCTCACCCTCCCACGCATCTGGCCTGTACCCCAGTTCTTGTATAAAAAATAAATAAATCTTTTTTTTTTTTTTTTTTTTTAATTTTCTAGAGGCATGTCTTATTTATTTATTTATTTATTATTTGTTTGTTTGGTTTATACATGCACTGGGTACAGTCAGAAGCATGGGAGGGTGAGAGAATTCACCAGAGCCAGAGCGGGGAGCAGAGCAGGCAGAAGGACCGAAGTACACTGCTGAGGGGAGCAGCGGGCGGCAGGAGAGGTCTGCGCGCCATGTGGGACCCTCCTCCGATGGCCGGGGAGCAGCCGGGGATCGAACCGGCTGCAGAGGCTGCAGTCAGCTTCGCAACCCAGCGCTCAACCGCTGCGCCACTGGGGAGGCCCAAAAAATAAATAAATCTTAAAAAAAAAAGTTTGCAATTGTTGATAATATTTATAAAAATTAAATGAGATGCTTCAACACAGGTGACACTGGTTACAGGGCAGAGTGAGGGGCACCCCAGGACCCCCAAACCTGCCTACTCTAAATGGGTCCTCCCATTCCCTGCATCAAGACAAAACATACCCTAGGGCACAAGACCTTCAATAGAAATCAACTTTGATACAATTAGCACGCAATCAAGAGGAGAGAATGGTAGAATAGATGAAATAATTTATCCATGAAGCACAAAACGTCACCCATCCCCTTGTGGGTAAATGCCCACTCAGATAGGGTTGACCCAAAGCAGGGCAACTGAGGCCCAAAAACTTGCCACAAGACTAAAGCAACTTCTGGTGAGGACCTACAGGAAAGGTGCAGAAGGGGCCAGGCAGGTCTGGAAGGAAAAGAGCAAAATCAAAATCAAAATAAGGGCTGCCATTGTCAGCCACCCCAAGGGGTCTCACCTCTGTCTGTTTCAGGTGTTGTCCAAGATGGAAAAGCAGGAACAGCTACTTCACATGTCTTACTGCTCCCTTGTGCCTCCTTGTCTCTCCAGTTCTCTGGTCCCCCAGTCTCAGCTCCACCCTTCCTTAGGGTGGGGCAGGGAACCTGACACCTCCCCTTTCCCTGGGGATTACCCTGTGACTTTGTCCTTTAGGAGAGATGTTGGGTTCAGTGAGAAACCTCCTTGGGTTACTGCTGAAAATTGTTCACAAAAGTTCCCCTTTTAGCAGCCTATAGCAAGTTTCCCCATGAGGCAGAACTGTTTAGTTACATCCAAAAGGGCTGGTTTACTATAATTTTTTTTATTTTTTATTTATTTTTTTATAGAGGCATGTTTTATTTATTTATTTGTTTGTTTGTTTTGTTTATACAAGCACTGGGTACAGTCAGAAGCGCGGGAGGGTGAGAGAATTCACCAGAGCCAGAGCAGGGAGCAGAGCAGGCAGAAGGGCCGAAGAACATTGCTGAGGGGAGCAGTGGGCGGCAGGAGAGGTCTGCGCGCCATGTGGGACCCTCCTCTGGTGGCCGGGGAGCAGCCGGGGATAGAACCAGCGCCGCAGAGGCCACGGGCAGCTTCGCAACCCAGCGCTCAACTGCTGCGCCACCGGGGAGGCCCTGGTTTATTATAATTTTTAAAAAGGGGAAAAGGACACTTGCACAGATGCAATTGGACAGAACGCGCTGCTGTTACTGCTTTGCAAAGGGAAAAGATTTGTGAAAAGAAACAACCTGCATGGTCACATTTGGTCAGGAGAGCAGTCTCTGAATGGAACAGGTCTATTAAAAGAGATGCCTGCATAGACACAGTCGGGCAGTCTTGGGACCAGAGCTGCCTCTGTTTGTGAAGAAATTGTACTGATAAAGTGGTTTTTTTTGGAGATGAATTCATTCCTTTGTGGGATTTTTATCTATGGCCAAATTGATGACTTGTAGGATGTGGCTAGGTTGATTTGAAAGGACCCGTGATTCTCTACAATGACCTCCATCTCCAAACCCCACCTCTGGTCTGTGCCTCGAGATACTTTCTATAGCAACTGATACTTGCTATAGTAGTTGGCTCCTAAGAATTCATATCTTTCTTTCTTTTTTTAAAGATTTATTTATTTATGCATACAAGACCTGGGGTACAGGTCAGAGCTGCGGGAGGTGAGAGGGACGGGTTTTTGGAGTTGAGGGGTCCTTGGGCTCACCCCGGGGAAAAGATTTCACCAGAGCTCCCCCTTCAGCGGCCTGTGGCCAGTTCCCCAGGCAAGTTTCTCCATGAGGCAGAGACGTTAGTTATATTTAAAGAGCAGGTTTACTAGGGACAGGGAAAGGGACAGGTTTTCTGAGAGAGGCCTGTGTGGTTGCAGGCAGGCAGCCTTGAGGGGAGAGGCCTCTGCTGAGGGAGGTCAGTGAAGAGAAGCCCCGGCATGGGACAGGTCACGGGCAGGCAGGAGGCTGCTGCCCTGCAGAGGAGCGAGTTGGTGAGAAGAGGCACCTGCATAGTCACAGGTGGGCAGTGGGAGTGCTGCCCCGAGCCTGTGCAGAGACTGCCCTGATATAGTCCTTTTCTCTTTGGGAGGGGTCACTCCTCTGTGGAGTGGCCTGCTTGTGGCTGATGTTGGGTACCAGGCAAAACTAGAAAAGGATCTGAGATTCCACGGTGGGCCCAATCTCCATATCTTTACCCTCAGGCCTGTGTTCCACTTCCTATAGCATCTGAGCCTGCTTGGGTGGGTCTCAGGCCTTGTGATAAGGCGCTGATGCCTAAGGGTCATGACCTCTACAGCTGGGTTAATGATCATGTTATTCCCCTCAACCCCCACCTCCTTGTGTGAGTCAGGTTTTAGTCTTGTGAGGCCTCCTTTCCAGTTTTTCTGTTCTTGTCCTCCATCAAGAGAATTCACCAGAGACAGAGTGGGGAACAGAACAGGCAGACTGACTGAAATAACCTGCTGAGGGGAGCAGCGGGAGAGACAGGAGAGTCCTGCTTGGCCATATGGGTTGCTCTCTGGCTGGCTGTGGATCTCACTCATGCTGCAGAGGCTGCGGATTGCTCCTTAGTGCAGTGCTTAACCCCTTGCACCACCAGGGAGGCCCCAGAATTCTTCATTTCTATAGCTGGTTTAATGACTATGTTAAAGACTATGACTATCCCCACCTCCAGTTTCTGGCCTTGTGACAACGTCATCCTAAATTTTCTACTCTTAGCTTCCATCAGTCGGTGTCCATTGGTGTTCCTTAGCAGCAGTTAAACTGTGTTGACATAAATTGGGGCAAGCAAAATTAACTGAGTTTATTAAAGAATCAACTGAGAGGATTAGAATTCAGTAAGCAGTCTTAAAGATTTTGCTTTTAGAAATGTTTCCCCAACATTGTTTGGATTAGTTACCTAATGTAGGTAGGGAGAGTGAGTAATTAAAAATGTTAAGATATGTTGTTGCTGTTCCTAGAATCACTTATTTCCCTGATTTTTAAAGAATATCTTTGGAGATGCAAAATATAGATACCGATCTTTAAATTCCTTATCTGATTCCTTAGATATTAATGTGGGTTGAAAAGTTCCTTTACCTTCAGGAAGCAGATATTTGCACATACTACAGAGTGGAGACTATTCTGGCTTTTAGGTGCAGATGATTTTGCTCTCTTGGTGGGCAGGTCAGGAAGAGAGGTCCCAAATATTTTATGATTTGTTCACAGGAAGTATTTCCTGGGATACAAACATACCTATAATTAAATATTTTTAAATGTCTCATTTTCCCCCCATTTTCAGGTGTCTATACTTTCAATTACTACAACCACCATTTGGAAAACTCCTTTGAAAATGAAAATAATAAAAATAACAATAATAATGATTGTGAAAGTTGTCCAAGCTTTTCAAGAAAGGAATGCTACAAAATGCAATATTCACTGAGTATCATCTACATCCAGGGTTATTAGGAATATGTACTCAGTAAAAGAATTAAAGATAGTTGTAAAAATCATTTTCAAAACTTCCCATTTCATTTGAAGATATTCTCTAGTTACAGGGCAACCCCGAATGGAAGTGGGGTGACCTAGGTGTGAGCCCTCACATACAGTTAAAAAAAAAAAACTCATGACAAGACCCAAAGTCAGGCACAGGAGAAAGGTAACAAAAAGGTTTATTTACAAGGGAAATGAGGGGAAAAGGGAGGGAGGCTCAGACACTGAGAGAAGAGATTAATTGGTCAGTAGGTCCTACCAGTAACAATGTTGGAGCTGTGACTCCAGATGCATGCTGAAGGCGGGCAGAAGCAAGACAGCACATGCCAACAAGTTTTCAGTTTTGTACTGAGAATGGCTACTTAGCTCCTCCCTTATTTTCCAGAAAAACCCTAGACATGGCATGTGCATGGCATGATGGAAGTTGTAGTCCTTCACACCTGGGATCTCTTTGGCATGGAGGTGGTGGGTGGCGTCCATAAAACATTAGTGGGTGGAATTTGTTCACGACACACTGTTCCTCCAACAATTTCCCAGTGCATTCACGGTTATTTCTCTGCTCTTCTTTCACTTAACCAAGCTATCCCAAGGCCTCATCTTTAGGCAAAACCAACTTTTTTATTTATGACATGAGAATTTTTTTAATTATTTATTTTGACCTCCAAAGGATACATTTCCTCAACAATGGAGATGAATTATTGTTTGTACTTAAGTTTTGCGGTACATCTAAAGGGATTGCATTGACCCTAATTGTGGACTAAATTGTTGATACAAAGCTAAAACTTCTTAGATTAGAGGGAATTTAATTTTGTTTTCCCTATTCAGTTCCTTGACCCCTACTGGGAGATGTATTTGCCTTTAAAATGAGCCTAAATTTATGAATCACCCACTTGACACTTAATCATGTAAATTAATGACACTTGATAAAGATGCCTTTTGCAATTGCAATGATGACTAAACTGTGTGTTTTGTTAACTGTGCCATTTATAGCTCACTGATTTTGGAATAGGAAGAATGCAAGCTCATTTGTTCTATAAGTGTTTGCAATGCCATTGCTTTGTCTTTGAGTTTAAAATAACTGATTATTCAAGGAATTTATTTATTGAACACTTTTTAAAATTCTTCATCAAATATCATCTCTTATCAACTTTTAATATGATGCATTTGTACTGCTCAGCTTCAGACAAAAATTAGAACAGGCAGTTCCTCAACAATAGTTAACCTCTGACTGTTTGGACATTAAGCCAGTTTTCTTCCTTACAGAATAAATAAAATAATGATAAAATAATGATACCGATGTGCCACTACAGAATTTGGTGTGCATTTTGTCTATTCTCTTATATAAAAAGCTCTTATTCTTTTGGATTTAATTTTGGCCAATCTACTTTTCACACCTGCTTTCTGCTCTCCTCTGATATGATGGGTCATTCTTTTCTAGTTATCAATAAACGTTGGCTCTAGAATGACAGTTTCTTTTACTTCTCTCCTGTTGTTATCCTAAAATATTTCCCCATCAGTGACAATAACACATCACAACTGCTCTGTAAAAATGATAGCCTCTTTGTTTTTGCAACTTTCTTCCCCACAGCCACTATTATCTGCTCATTCTTTCAAATTTTGAACCCTATTCTGTGACCATCGTCACTTATTTTTTCTACTCTGTCACATTGAATTTTCTTTGATACTGACATTTATGGTTCTTTTATCTTACACCAGTCTTATTTGTAACCATTCTTTTTCTCAGTGGATCAGTGTCATACTGCCAATATGTTCACCCTTAGATTGCCTGACCCAATTGTCCAGGTATCATTTAATAAGGCTAAAGACTAAGCTACAAATCCTTGCCTAGCAGGCAAGTTTGGGAGCTTTGAATAAATAAGGGAAATTAACAGGGCTGCCAGTGGAACCATGATGTGAGACTGACCACCATGGCCAGATAAACCAACCAATGCCAGGAACGTGAAGCAGAACTAGGACACATTCTGTATCAAAGGCCAGCAACTGAGATTAGACATTTTAATATATAAGTGATGCAAACTGGTACACCAAGTGAGAAAGCCCATAAAAACTGAGTATAAAAGAGAGTCT